GCCCTCGCCGCCGCCGCCGGGACCCTTCTGACCCTTCTGACGCACACTTTTTATTCCTCTCATTTTTTACAAGCTGTTATTTTTTGTTACCAATAAATATTAATATTTTATTGCTTTAACTTTATTAACGTAAGTACAGTCGCGGTATCTGTCGGTGTTTCGTCCGCAAAGCTACAGTCGTATAAATGTTTCGAACGCATCGAGACGACGACGTGGATCCATAACCAATGGGAAAACTTATCGGCAGTGTGTGCATTAATGTGATTCCGTAGTTTGCGGACCTCACTGCTTCCTAATTGATTATTTGCAATGTTTCTGAAAAATAGAACACCGTGGATTTCCGCGACTGTACGTGTCCGGAGTGCGGGGCAATGTACTAATATTTAACCGAACTACGCGGGGCCCTAGTTTTATTGATAAAGCGACAGAGCAGGCTTTACGCATGTTTTTTTCTTCTTTATTAGTGTCAGCGCTCTAACCCACCCGGCAGCGAGGTGTCCAGAAAATTTAATTCCTTATTAACCTAAGTAGGAATGGTGTTGATTTTTATACTGTTTATCAACCGCTTTACACAGGCATCACGAGTTTATAATTGCTTAAGAAAATATTTCTATAGGAAAAAAATAGTTATTTTAATCACATATTTCAAGAATGGATTTTGAATAAAAGAAGACCTTACTTACCTTTACATATCGGCGGAGTTTATAGAGGAAAGTAAATTTATACCATTACGATGTAACATCATGAGTACGCGTAGTTATACAGAAAACGATGAACAATAAGGATGTGCGATGTTGATTGAGTATTGCGTACAAAATGTAAACGTGTGTGTTGTGTGCGTTGCGTGCGTTGCGTGCGCGGCGCGTGCGCAGGCTGCAGTCGCACGAGCTGGAGCAGCGCCGCAGCACGCTCGCGGAGAAGCTGGCGCGCACGCAGCGCCGCCAGCAGCGCCGCCGCGGCCGGGCGCAGCGCGCGCACCACGACCACGACACCCAGGACCCCCCCGAGCCCCACGACCCCCACGACCCCCACGACGGTCAGTCCCTAAACATTCATCACTTACAAAACACTACATTTGACAGAGGATTTAGCGAGTTCGAAAGTTGGCCGAGATTGTTCCAATTACAACTC